GTACAGTACAGTACATTCTTGTCTCCGAGGTTCCCCAGGTTTCCTTAAAAAAATGTGCTTCTTTGGCTGCAGCTGATATTTCGGCAGTTATGCGAGTGACCCGAACGGGTATTTTAGTACAGTACTGTACTTTACGACCTAAAGCTGCATTTCTCCTCGTTCTCTGTTACTGTATAAGTATTGCATTTTGTACTTAATACTTTCTGAATTGTAGAAAATGAAAGAGTTTTATTCGTGTTCATAAAAATTAGCCTTCACTTGAGAAAGTCGAATGAAATGTAGCCGTGACTTGACCCTACTTACATCGTCATGTTGCGCAAGGAGCCATAAAAATCTACGCAAAACTCCGCAAGCAGAATTTCTAAATACTGTACTGTATACTGTACATGCTGCGCACATGCGTATTGACTAATCATGGCCATCGTCCGCTCAATATTTCCGTACTGAGCTTCTGCGTTAGCGCAATATTCTTGTTTACGAACGAATATAGGGGGCCTTTTGTTGGTGCTGGGTAGCACATCCTGGAGACAAATTTTATAAGCCGGAAATTGTAAAGTTTCGCAAGAAAGATCCAACTATTACAGGAGGAAACTAGCAAATTTTCCGCGAAGAAATTGCCGGAGAGAAGAATGACCGTTTCATTTAATGCTAACGTCTGATGAAAACAAATTACTTTTTCAAGACCTTTAAAAGAAGACAACAGTTGTTAATGCCGTGTTTCCTTGCGTTATGCACACACAAGGGATAATTCCATAATTTAAGCTGGTGCCAAATAATTTCGCTCAGAATTTACAACCGGTATTTTGGACCTCATTTCCCGGGGAAAGTGCAGCCTCTAGTCGCCGCCATACGGCGACCATTTTCCACCGAACTACGCCAGTGGCAAAAATTATGAGCGAAAGTATGCAGACCACAGAGATACGATTCAAACATTACGGTCCTAAATCTGCTCTCCGGGCAATAATTTAACTTCATTATTTCAGAAACCTTTCGACTTTTCGATAAGTTCGAAATGCTGCATATTCAAACACGTCCTTTATGGCGAGCATCGGCCAAACTTTATTACTTGTACGATCTAGCTCTTAGCACTTTCGTGAAAAAACTAAAGTACTGTACAAGGAAACCGCGATCATCCACGATAATGAGGTATACCTGCTTCCGGGCAGTTGAAAATCCCAATTAATCCAAGATGGTGAAAATTTTGATTGACAATGTGATTGGACATAACGTTAGCGATCCTCCTTCATAGCTCTGGGTTTTCAATAAATACGCCCTCGAATTTAACATATATGTCGTGCGAAAAATGTATTCGGGTCCCAATGAGTCCAGGGCAATTCAACTGACTAAATCTCACAGGGAGTCTTCGGGTCCAATGTTGAAAGCTCGGTTTAGCAAGATGTAAATAGGCCGGCAGACATTCCGGCGATTTTCTTTCAGTTTATTGAAATATCGTGCATAAATATTGGAATGCCTCACATACGTTCAAGGTACAGATATCTAAGGGTCAAGCGAAAAAAAAATTCATTTGTTATTTTTTCTCACAAGAACTTCTTTCGAGGCATTCCGTTGGGTTATCCAACTGCAGCGAGTAACCTTGTGACGTCTGGAACAGATTTAGATCACCCTGATTCGATCCTTCGATTTCACCCCGGCAGGAAGCTTGTAATCCTTTCGAAGATGAATCTTTACGGATTCCCGTATGAGCTTCGTAAAGACTCATTCGCATGCTTCTTCTCTATTTAATATTAATGTACTGAACTGTATACATTTTTTGCTGCCCCGAGCGTTCGGCGCTCGGAAGCTGGTTACACTAATTGCATGCCTTCGACCACGAGAGGAGACAGCATTACCAATACAGTAGTCTGTCCCGGGACAGCCTGTGTCCGTACTGCCGCTATAGAACCAGTTTCCTGACGCCCGCGACTCACCGAAAACGAACCCCAGCAGACGTTCTTTCGACTCGACACACTCGTGGCCAGAGCTTCGCTCAACCACCGGTCATTACTCCGGTCCGGCACTTCCGAAGAACCATCCCGAGTCCTCCAGTCTACAGTCTGCTCCACGCAGTACCTCGAGGTTCCTCCTGTCTAGCACCGGCTTGTATAGCTTCTCAGCCGACGGTTCCACGTGCAAGGCGTGCATGCGTGCTCGGCATCTCGCGGCCCCGCATATCGTGAATGCGGACAGGCCGGTAATAGCCTCGCGGTCACAAGGGAAGGAAAGGCGCTGTCTCTGGTTGCGAAACATTCCCTGGAGAGCCTCTTCGCGAGCGAAGCGGCTGGAATGCTGGTGAATTGTGATAAGTGAGTCAACTTCGTGTACCCGGTGTCAAGAGGGGAATCCAGCGAGGTCGACGCGTCCGTTTTCTTAATCTTATCGTGATTCGAAGCCTACTTCTATCGCCAATCCTTCATGTTGTCAGAAAAACACATGTTTTAAAGCACAGTAATAATGTACTGTACACAAATCTAAAATTAAAAACTTGATACATATACTGTACTGTGTTGTATTCTAAAACGCGTGGTTGAATCCTGCGTCATTGGTTATTTGAGATACCATTAGAGGAAATTAGAATTTTCATGTGTGCTCAACCCACATTTGTACCTCCCAAGCATTTCCCAGTTTGGGACATGGTTTGTAGCTTGAGTATGCTTGCCTAAACGTCATTTTTGTCGTTCAGGTTGTTCTATATTCATTCACTTTTTCGGTTGAAACATCTTTATACAATGTATTACGGCAAATTTAATTTTTCTTCGCCGAAACTGTCGAAATTTCCAAATTACGTTTTCACTCATCCGTGACAGTTTCATTAGACCCTAAAATCCTAAACCATCACTACCTCGAACTGGCTAATAATCAGATGAATGAACGTGAAAATAAATTCTAAGGGTCACTCTCAGATCTTAATCTTACCAGGACGAACGTAAATATTCTCAACAATCTTGAAACATTTTGTTGGAGTCATTTCTAACTACTGTATTTTAAGCATTACTCACTTTAACCCTTATTTCGCTTGCCTTTTGAATGACGGGTTAGTGAAGGACCTTCCCGATAATAATTTGTCTGAACATAACCGTATTTAACCAAACATAACCTAAAGCAACTTGCTCATAACACATGGGCAAAAGGTGCTCAGTAAATCTCATCGGATTTCCTATATGAGCGAAGAATCAGTGAAAGAGGTGTCGGACATTGCGATGTAAAATGTAAAATTTTAAATGTGTATTGCATTCTCGTGTTTTTGTCCCTCACTGGACGGGCGATTAGTAGTTCACAGAATTTGAATTTCCAACAAGTGCTGGCATCAATAGAAGGCTGCAAAAGAGTTCAAAGATAACGCGAAATAAATATTTCGATCTAACGGAAATAATCCAGAACCATAGTGGAACCTTGATCATGCAGGCTTAAATTTATTGTGTATTTGCTTGATTGCGCCATCATTTCCGTCACATCAGAGAAAGCAAAATACATTCATAATTCTCATGTAAGTGAGTCTATTTTGCACGATTTTATTCATATTGTATATTGCATTTTAAATTATGTTCAAGAAAGCTACAAAGCATCAAAAAATAAATGGATAACCTCCAGAGGACTGAGAACTCAACTCAAACTGCACGCAACGGACCGTAAAAAGCATACAATTATGACTGACTGGAGAATATGCTTTCCTTTGAGATATTCTTAATCTTCGGTACATATTATCAGATCAGGCGATGATTTCTAATCCCATCCGCCGAAAAGTATATTTTCTTTCAATTATCTACGATGTTTTATTATCCTAGAAAATTCGCACTACAGTATTATTAAGCGGATACTTGAGGACCTACCGTAACTCCCAACTTGAAGAGGAAACGAAGTTAGAATGGTGGGGGATGAGAATTAAATTTTGAAGTTTCCAGGAAGGAAGACTTGTATCCCTCATGCAACGAAGCACCATGATATGTTCCAGTGCGGGTTGCCGTCGGCGCGTCCGTGATCTGGCCCCGGCGGCGAGGCAGGCGCAGTCTGGCGTATGCCGACGATCCGGACGTTGCTTCCCACTTATCGTGCAAGTTTAGATTCAAAAGTGCGCGCCGGGCTTGGGCTGTGATGCAGATGCGACTCGGCGTCCCTGTTTCGAATCCTTCCTCATTGGATTTCAGACGTTTATTCACGGCGAGTGATCGATACGCAAATTTCGAATCCCATCGTGTAATCATGTAAATTTTATTGAATCGAAAGTAGTTTCATGTGGTACGAAGCGCTTCCGTAATTTGGCAGCAAATTTGTTCACCTCGGGTAGGTCGAGTTTCGCATCAGCTGTGCATTTGTCCGTCTCTTGTTGCTCAAGCTTCATTATGCAATTTCTGCGATGAGCTTGTTGAAACGTCAAAGAACAGGTGCCGAGCGTTTGTCTGCATACGTATTTGCCAGATAATCCCGAAATCTTGAGCCGTCTTGTCTTCCGCAGTTGGATGTGATACAGTACTTGATCATGCGTTACTCGCATGTGCATCATTCCTATCAAAGAAGTAAATTTCCAAACCGATGTGCGGCAATCAGAGTACAGTGATGCGAATCAGATCAAAATTCCGTTATTGTGCAATTTTTCTGACAAGTGTGCCGATGAACGAGGCTGCAGTCTATACTTGAGATGTACGAAAATATGCGGCACTGCCGTGTCGAACAAAACTGACTCTTTTCGTCCTATAAAGTGTTTTCTATGTTCTTATCAAACATGAGCCTCTAAACGAGTAAGTTAATCTCTGCCTAATCCATTCTCCACTTGCAATTCGTGAGTTTCGCCTGTTTTGAAGTCTGCAATCTCACCAAAGCTTCAATTTCTGCGCCTTAGAGTAGCCTGACGTAGACAGTTCTCTACTCGAATCGCTGCTGAAAAAAATCAGGTTGCATTCTCCAATCGCGCGTTAATGTACAGAATCCTTACTTCTGAGGTGCATTTCTTACCTGTTTTCTGCCTACGGTAAATGGTATGTCAAGTGATTGTTTCCATCTGATTCAGTTCGTGAGGAAGTGAGAGTGAAAGGTCATTGTTTTCGACGGGATCGTTCCGGTTACGTTGCTGACTGCTGCTGCCGCGTTGGTTTTCGTCGGCTTTTCGCCAAGGTCAGCTTCCATGGACTCCTCGTTAATTTCGTTGAATTATCGTCATCCGCGTCCGGTCGCCAGGCATTAAATTGTTCGCGGTTATTGCCGCGTGGGCCGAGGGTCTGTAGAGAAGTTTCTTCACACTTGGAACACGTTTTTGCGAGCACTTTTGAAGTTTTATGCATTGGTTCTTCGTCTATTTCTGACCTGTTCTCCCATTTTTATGCAGGTTTGCTAGGCTTTTCGGCCAAACCTACGCGGCGTGCTCCATTACACTAATGCAGGTTTGATTAGTTCTGAATGTGGTCTCTCGTTTTCAAAACGTATTTTCAAAATCATGTAATAATGTGCACATTTGAAATGTGTTCAGTAGAGTACTGTACTTCAGGTCTCCGTAGGCTGAGTGGGGATTTTGGCGTTATAAGATCAGATTAGATGTCCAAGTCTAGTCATCAATGAGAAAAGGCTGAGGAAGGATTAACATAATTCCCAGCGATCACGCATATTTCCAAACTAACTCGCAGGGTTTGACAACAAGAATTCCGAACTCTTAACCCACATGGTGTAGTATTCTAGGAAATGTATACAATTTTCAATGTTCAACTTTATGCATTGATGCTCTGCGATCAAGTGCGGCGACTGATGAAACGCTTCGAGTCATGGTGCAATTGCCGTTTCTATCGATATTCGCACCTACCCTCTCAAGCTCTCGAATTTTCGGCGATTATCACCATGCGACTAAAATCATGAAAACCTAGCCTGTTTCTTTTGACGGCAGTTATTCTGACTAAAAAATGTAAGCCCATGTGTGTGCTTCAGGCAGTTCATGCCTCGTCGAACTTGAAAGGGATGTTGCCTGCTTTCATAACATCCCTCACTGACAATGACCGTTTCCGTGATTTTCCTCTCGGTCACACAACGATCATGCGGGGCACATTTTTGTTCATGGCCTAGCGACCATGGAAACAAAAATTTTTCTACCGAGTTTTGGATGGCGATCGCTCTTCATATTCTTAGCACCTGTAGTGAAAAAAGAACTCATTGAAAATTTACGCAACTTCACATGTGCAGTACATTTAAAATTGCAGTAAATGCTCTAAGAGCTAGATGTGTTGGTTGAATTTTGTTCACTGTAATGTGGTCCACCGACATGTAGGCAGACCATGTGTCAGATTGTACTCCACTGTATTTCAGTTCGGTGGATCAGATATATTTTTATGACACATTCTCTTGACGGAATGCAATAATGAATGGCTTCATAATTGATCAGAATAGCTTCAAGGGGTTTTGTCATAAGCATTTTGTGTGCATCCTTTTTTGTGGCTGTGTCCCCTCTACAGCAGACTCCGGGCACCGAAAATATTTTGTAGGAGAATATATTGTGTATGCGTCGCCTGTACACTAATCGGAGTTCACCCAGGGGCAGATAAAATTCGTTTTACGCGGAATATTGTTGTGGACAAAATAGTCGCAGAAAGGGTATCTAAAACTACTTTCTGCCGTTTTATTTTATTTAATTTTTGAAAATGCCGTTAGGCTAAAGATGATTCCAAAAACGTCAGGTTTCCCCGCAGCCACGCGTCGTTAACGTTTTAATTCAACATGCGAATTCCTTTGTCTACCTTAACGCCATTTGTATTTGATGTCAGTTAAACGTATCACAGAAACTTGTAAATTTTCTGCTTGCAGGCTGGTAGAATCGCGGAAAAGAATACTGGAGTGGAATCCTGTCCTTGTTGTCTAGCCCCCATAGCTCAGGGGCTGGAAAGGAAGTCGGGACGGTCGTCCCACGGGCCACGGCCTCGAGCTGGGCTCGCAGGGTTCAATCAAGTGTCCTTCGGCGAACGATTCGTTGCGCGGCTTATTTGCTTTAAACACGCTTTTGGTCTTCTCCAGTTCCTAGCTGCTTACGGGCTCAGGATGCGTGAGATTCTACTGTACTGTACAGTGCACTGATGCTCATTCAGGGCGGTCCGATTGAATCAGCTGGCTGCTGTCGTAAGCACGAGGGGTTAAGCTTAATAAACCACTCCCGTCTCGCATAAGTTGTGCACGATAGATGCAGCGTCGTAATTGTTCGAATGGAGGCTTTTTCGCAGTCGTGGCAGGGCATTTCCGAGCCAGTTGATTGCCTTGTCCGAAATGCTCCCCACGTTTTGTGGCGAGAAGGAGATTTATTGCGACTTGTCACTCTGGCATGCAATTCAAGAACGTTAAGAGCACTGGAATTCATGCAAAATTACTTTTTAGGTGGCCATTAAAAACTGAGAAATGCCGCGAATTTACTGAACGTGACAGTTCGAAGGCGCGGCGAATGAAAAATACGAGGAGAATTTTCTGTATCAAAAATTTAACGAACTTTGCTCAAACGTTTCTTGAATGTTCTCGGGTCACGCTGATCTGGCCATTTTTTCCCCATCTATGAGGCAGAAACTTGACAATGGGTTATGATATGAAGAATAATATTTCAAATCTTCAACGTAGATAATCATTTTTATGAGTTCATTTTCCAATATTGAATACGAGTAGGAGACGTTTCTTTCGGGTACGAAGAAGCTCAGCTTTGCTGTTCCTCGAAAACTAGCCGCTTACCTCACGATGTATATCACGCGTGAAATTTAAACATGTAGATTCATGTAGAACGATCTAAATTTTATTTTTATGTCGAACTGCCCCACGCTCAGATCAGAATTTATTTAAAGATCGTCCATATTTTATTCATTCTTATTCAAGACCTCCGGGCTCCATTTTGTGAACTCGATTCGATGTGTATCTATTTAAAATATTTTAACAACATTTTCCCTCGCTCGATTGTTTTGTCGAATTCATTTTTTTTAAACAACGTTAATATTCGATGAAGATGCAATTGAATCCTTTCTGAACGTTGTCTAGTTTATTACGACTCGCACGACTTTCGCTGAAATATAGTATCTGTATTCATCTTAGTAAGTTCTAAATTTTAGATCGTTCAAAAATGGAAAGTGCATTGCCCTGTACTGTAGTAATTTTTCAAAACATGAAATATAGTACAAGTTTGCCCCTAAATTTTGATGTTGACATTTAAAATGCTGATATCACTGAGATGCCTTCAAAGAAATGATTCAATCGAAACCAAATTTTGGAAAGGTTTGTTTTTCTTAAACTTATAAAACATATTTTTCAAGCTTTTAAACTGTTGTATTTAAAAAGTGTACATTAAATTCCGTACCCGCGCAGTGACGGGCGCGCTATATGTCAAGTGTTCCACGGTTTGGCGTATTCGATCCAGAGACCAAGTAGCATTGTTTCACGATTAAAATTCAGCTGTGACTAACGCCGAACTTAATTTATCTTATCTTATTGGCATTACCTAGCGAGGGTATCGGTTTGTGTGCATATGACTTTCTTTTCCTGTTTTGATCCATTGTCAAGCGAAACGTATGCGTTTCCAATGCTGTACAGTATCTTCTCTGATCTCATCTGCCTTTCGGCACACGGGTTTGTTATTTCCGGGAAGTCGGCGCATGAGCCTTACTATCGATCCTCACTTCAGAGAGTGTTTGTGCTACGGCTCTTTCTAGTCGCGAATCCTGGGTTTCAGTGCACAAGTATCGAGTCCTTTGTGCTTGAGTAGTTCATTGCATCGATCAGAGTAAGTGTTCGATCGTACCACTTGAACCCCCCTTTTTTTTTTAGACCTCATACCTTGACCCGGACGTTGACGTTTCTGTTCGACTGAGCATACCGTACCTAAAATTGCAGCCCGGCTTCGGAAGAATAATTTTCGACATTGGCTGAACTTTTTTATTCTTAATTCTTAAAAAAAATGAGAATAGATTGAAAACTTCGTCTTTCTGCTGGGCATACTGTATATGCCTCTACATATGTGGAAGATATATACTATATAGGCGACAAAAGAGCGATTAGTCAAATCCCGGAACCGAGCAGACGAAGATATTCTTTTTCTGGGTTCCGTAGTTGAGGAATGCTGTTTTTCTGCACGCTCCGACGCTGCTTGAACTTACAGCGCATGCAAATATCACCCTGTTCTTTTCCAGTTTCCAGGAAAAGCAGGATTCATTTTGTTCCAGTAAGTGCTTGAGCTGGAAGGATTTTCGACTCGTCGAAAGAATAACGCGTTGCACTCGATAATGTACTCCACTTGAATGGATTAGTGAGAACTGTGCACAGTGCTAGCACTACATGCGCATATGTAAACATGAAATAGAAGGATTATTTTTCCATGTTTGGAATGTTCATGCGCATTTTTCCCAGACGCGAAATGTCTGGGAAAGCATGCTGAAGTTCTGTAACTATTGTCTTGAACAATGGGAAGATTTTGAAGTATTTGTGGAGTTTTCCAGATTTTATCATGTCTTGTAGCGAGTTGTTTCCATTTTTCTTGTCGACTCCATTTTTTCGAAGGCGCTTGTATTCGTAGGCCAATTTCGATTTTTCAAGGATCAGTAAAGGCTTGAAAGTTCATCGGTGTTTCTGGTGAATGTTGGGATATGTTTATGTCCAGAAGTTGAAGCTATCATAAATGCTTATTTTGAAAAATTTTTGATCACGCTCAGCATTTGACGTGTTGCGCATGAATATATATCGTCTAGTACTCTAGTTTATTGCAGCTGAAGTCCCCTGTTCATAACATTCAGCCGCTCTGCTGTTAAACGATTCCGCTTCCAATTTAACCTCTTGGTTGCCTCCAAATGTTGGTTTAAAATATTCTGCTTCGCAGTACCTCATATACCCAACGGAAATAACTTGCTGCTTAAAGTTAACTTTCCTGTTCTGTCTGGTAAGCGAGGTGGACGCTTAGCTTGGTAACGCGCCCAGACGTGAACTATGGAAAGGACAGTGAACCATCAGTCGAAGCCTTCAAGGGCAACGCGTGTCGCGCCCAGCACTAGCACAAGGACCATGAATCTCATCAGGAGTACTCGGAGGATAGGCAGAATAATCTTATGGGCGGTCGCATTAATTTACTTTGTCGCATTGACATTCCGTGTCAATATTTTTCCGGCTATTCGGGTTGTTCTCATCAGCGACAAGGGCTCGCCAGCGATGCGTCAGGAAGTTCTCCACGAGCCTCGTTTCAAAACGCTCGCCGTATACGGCGAATCTAGCCGGTTCTGAATAAATGCGTCAGAAATTGTTATTTTGATCGTATTTACTTGGTGAGCTAGGGTTTTATGACTTGAAAGATCAAGGGAAAGGCATCGGACACTTGCAGGCTTATCTCTTTCGAAAGCTCAAAATAAGGCTTTCCAGCTTTTTCGTGGACTGTGACGTGACATTATAAAATTTTTCGGTGCTTATGTTCCATCTAATGCCGCAAATTGACTTGATCGAGTCGGAGTCAAACTTTCTTACGATTTTAGCTCTTATTCAGCGTCTTTCCTAACTTTTGTCCTGGTTTATAGCCCTTCTCAACTATTTCAAAAGCAAAAAATATTTTGCGAAACTACCCGCGAGGTGTGGGTGTGCCACAAAAAATAAGTGCCGATAAGGCGGGTTCAGGACCCTTGATATAAATTCTGAAATGACCCCGAAGTCTGAACTGTGAAACCTTTTTTGGACAAGCCAAGGACAATTTCGAAATGAGCTTTCAGCAATACAAGTGGACTCTCTTTCCAAGGAAATTTTAAAAAACCAGAAAAACCGTTGTAGAGATAATTTTGTTGTAAAGAACACCCAGAACATGAGGAGAGAAATCCTGCTGGACCGAAGAAAATCGTTATACAGAGAAAAGCAATGTAAAGAGAGTCGATTTGTATTGTTGAATACTTGTGGAGTGTGATCTGCTGGTTTTTTTTTTCGAATTCGCGAATGAGAATAATAATGCAGTTCATGTCATGGTAACTTCGCATTAAAAAAAATATGCAATCCACAGAAAGGCCCTGATTATAAGAGCCCGGCTTTATGAGCTAAATTTACTTTGAATATATGAATTTAAATGCAATTTTCAGTTTTTCGAAAGGTTGCGTTTGAAAGACGAAAAAGTAATCGCTCGACGTGGCATCCTGCAATTGTATTGTACTTCGACTTCAGCAGGAAATATGGTGAGTCAATCGGTAGCTGGCTGCCCCTGTGCAATGCGAACGTCATTGAGCCGCCCCGCATGCCTGCGTTTGTATTTTCCGTTTTCATCGCTTTCGAATCGCGTCGTTCTCATCCCCGAGATGACAAGCCCGGGTGATTTGAATGCGATCTGCGAGTCTTTGTGTGCTCCCAAGTGTCAGCCACGTGTCGGAGGAACCGATGTCCTGACGTAATGAACTTTTTTATGGTCGGACAGCAAATATAGTCATCGAGTTTAGTGCGCTTCCGGGTGACTTTCGATTCATGAGCGCAGTGGGATATGTTTTTCCCTGGTTGTGATGAAATGTAGGGTCTCCAATGCTCCAGTCAGATCCGCCTTTCGGTCACGTCAAAGTTTCTTTCGTGTTTCAACTAAGACCTGATCTTACAGGGCTTTCCGCAAGTGAGGGATTATCTGGAAATGTTCAACTGAAAAAATAATAGAATTGCTTGTGATCTCTTTCTCGCTGAAAACTCTCGGCGCGGTTTTGTCTAAGCTTTGCAATTCTACATCTACTTTTTTCCTTATCGTTAAATTTGTTTTTGCTCCCCATGAACCGTCTATGAAGTCTATGTCTACGACAATGCCTTACGATTTTCTCGTTGACGCTCTTCTCTTTACTGTATGTCGAATTGTTTTTTTTTTACTCCTCTATTTTCGTGAAAGAGAGAATCTTGGCAGAAATTTCTTAAATTTGAGTATAGCGTCTCATGCATCGAGCGAGGATGAGAAGCGATCGCAAACGAATTCGTTAGGCGACATTCTCAATATTGCACGATGTCAAAGAGTTCAAAAGCTAAAATAGGGATTATTTCTGATTCAGAAGTCACGCTTTCTCTTTCTGATCTCTGTGCAAGTAGATGCAGAAGAGATTCTCATGCGCATGCGCAACTCGAGTGCTTGAGACCCGAAGAAGCCACCAGCTCCGATCTCCGTTATAAATTGAGATTCAAAATATTCACATGTTCCGAGAATTTCGGGCGACGTCGCACTTTTCGGGGAACAAAAGGTGTAGAACTTTAGATGATCCATACGAAACCGGAAGCTCCTTTTTGGTTGTTCGGTACTGTATAGTAATGTTTCGGTCAACAGAATTGTTGCATTCAAATTTGAAGTCTTTTCTGTGAAGCCTTTCAACTGCGTGATTTCAAGTCGTGCGGAACGCTTAATTTTTTCCTTGCCTTAACGTACACTAAAGCAGTGTTCCCCAACCCGTGGTCCGCGGACTGCAGTATTGGTTTTTTGTTGGTCCGCGGGAAATGTGCATTCCTACTTCTAGGAAATGTATTATGCTGAACTCTTATCATTATCTAAAAATTTGGAAAGACAATGTTAGGTGAAATCATTTGAGGAAAAGTAAAAGTTGGCTTTTCTCCTAATAACACTTCAGACACATTTTTACCTGCTGAAATAAATTATTTGAATTTTCATTCTGAGAAGCATGCCCACCTTTGTAAGTTTTTGATGACATTCAGCTATAGCTGCTTCATAGGTGCTTAACTTAATTTTTGCAAGAAGCAGAAAATTTTATATTCCTGCCATAAACTCTTATCAAGCAAAATTTTTTCAAGTCTCTAAAAGTTTTATGAAACTTTGCCGGTCCACAGAAATTTTTTTTTGGGAATTTGCTGGTCTGCAAAAAATTTTATAGAAATTTGCTGGTCCGCGAAACCAAAAAGGTTGGGGAACACTGCACGAAAGCATTGTTGTGCTTTCTTGGCTGAGTTGACCGTTTTCTGTCTACATTACTTGAGTGATTTTTCTGATACATGATCACATTTTGAGACATTTGTATACTTCAGACTCTTCACGTGGCAATTGCTTTTATGCCTTCAAAAGCATACTGAATTTAATTGAACATGTTTCATTAAACTTTATTTTCCGCTTTTCAGCCTTCAGATGGTTCAAGCGATGTTCCCACATCCAAACCCCCTCCAATCCCCACCCACATTCATCCAAACACATCCCATCACATCAGAATGGAAAACAGAAATAAACTGTATATGGATATTACAAGAAAATAAAATGCGTCCCAAAATGTACAATTACAAATAAATACATTTTCTTCCCTTCCTGATAAAAATATCGGTTATAAGAATTGCAGCATAAGGAAATTACTAAACTCGAATTAAAGCGACATACTGAAATCATGAAAACTGTTAAACCATTTTTGAATAATATACTGTGCATGTAATCCGTTTCTAAACCTAGAAAATTCGTTTTCACGTTCCGATAAACTTCGTTTTGAAGGTTTGAAGAAACATTTCCAGTGAAGAGTAAGAAGGCATAATGACGAATGCATAATGGAAAGTGCACAATTGTTTCGTTTTCTGAATCATTGCAGATCAGCAATAGTGCATAGAAACTGAGAAGGCGTTGTTCAATGCAGTCAAGAACATGTAACAACCTTCGTACACTTCGAGAAATTATGTTGGAAGAGCAATTTGCTGTTGCAATTCGATATTTCTGGAGGATAATTTTTAACGAATTTTGTTATCCAATTTGGGGACTGCAATGCGAAATAGTGAGTGGATCCAACAGTACGAGTCTTCTTTTGAAAAATGTTATATGCGAAGCGTCTGTTAACCGGGATACTGCTTTCTCGCTGTCAGTTCCATATTAGTGCAATGGCTCCTGTTATGCCCAGTGACGCACTACGTTCGAAGGGGGGGGGGGGTATAGGCCCCCTTCACTTATTCCTTATATGATGGAAGATTATTCAAATCATGTTTTTTTTTACTAGATGACGGGCCTGTGCTTCCGCGGTGAATAAAAGATTCTGAGGTTCAGCGAGAAGTTACCAACAGAATAAGGATTTCAATGTGGGCTCCTGCGATTTTCATGCTGATATCGGGGCCCTGTTGCCTTTGATTTGGGCCGCAGCCCCGAAATAAAACATTGGTTAAAACAGTGGGATTTTGGACGTCACTTAGCATTTCTTTTCTTTGTTGAGCGCAACACGCCATTTCACACGTGAGATACATTTTATAGACACTACGATGTGACAATCGGGAACAGTTCCTCTGCATGATGCCCCACATCATCACCATGCTCATTGAAATATTCGCCTGCTGTGTTCGTTTCTCTCTTATTCTGGAATCATTACGAAAGCAAGATTAGATAAGAATGCAGTTTTTTAATATCTGAATGATTTTGTAAATAAAATATGTCATACAAGGTATGATGTATTTCAAAAGGGTTCCTTGGGAAAATTTCAACTTGAAATTCTGAAATTACGACACCATCCGATCTCCGCATGGCAAATGCCTTTGTCTTACATGTGATGAAATTTGAATTTCAGCTTAGATGAACCACAATACAAATCAAGGGGATTGTAGTTTTTTGAATTTAAATCACGAGAAACGTCTTGCAATTTTTCTGGGATTCAGTTTTTGAATACGTAATATTTTATGGAAGTATGGTATCTAGGACGTGCTTGCAAATACGTACGGTACATATATTTCCACTTTTTATAAAGAAGCAATGCCCGGTGAGATAGGACAGAGTCCGGACTACCATGGGATAACCTCACTGGAAGAAGGCATCGGATGTGATTTTTCAGAAACCTTGAGTGTAGATGTGTTTTATTTTATTTGGATAGAATAGTTCTGTAGCCGGTGCGATAATAATTCAATGTCGGAGATCTTTGGATAGTCATGCGTTGCGCTGAATGTTTTCCACCGTAAGATCATGAGAGAATAAGTCTCTCCTGTATTCCTTTCTTCGAACAGGAGTACGAAGTTTCAGGTTGACTGGAGAAACGACTCCGGTAGAGCATCGAAACTGTCGGAGAAAACTCAGCGATAATGGGCTGCTTCGGGAGCAAAGCAAAGCTGTCCAAAGAGGATATCGAATTTCTCCAGAGGAAGACGCGCTATGACGAAGAGACCATAAAAAAATGGTACAAGGGCTTCCAGGCGAGTGTAGAAATTTTTTTTCATGATTTGAAAGCATGATTCAATGGAATTGAGCTCAAAATTGTCCTCAGTCCGATCAGATGTGAGTAGTACTTCACAACGTATATCGTTCGGTCGTTTATCTTACCTCTGACTCATTTTTGCACAATCCCTCATCTGAGTATTGCATTGACGGAATGATTGCTCTGAGGTGTGGTGCGTTTAGTGCGAGGTTCAAAATTGAAAGTATCCAAATATTTTATTATCTTAGCAACTACAGAGTTCAGCATTTTTAAATCTTTCATTTTCAGTTGATTCATCCGATTTTCCTCTCCAACTTTATTAGTCTAAACTCTACAGCGTTTTCAATATTTTATTCAAATGTGCTTCGAGTTACTTATTCAGATCGTTTTCCAGTAAGAATCATGAAGGGAAGTGGGATTCACGAGGCGAAGACAATTGCTTAGAACGCGCAGTTTCAAAACCATATGCCCTTCGCACGATATTCCTAACTCATTTTTCCTATTATCGGTCAGGGGACAGAAACTTCAAACATTCTAACAGCAGAGCATCTAAATTTTGTAGCAAGACTGTCCCAATGGGAAGCTGACACCCGCCAAGTTCGTGGATATGTACAAGATGCTGTTCCCCAGCGGCGACGGCGAGGAGTTCTGCGACCACGCGTTCCGGACGTTTGATACAGATAAGAACGGCTACATCGACTTCAAGGTTCGTGACGTTGTCTGCAGGTCTTCCGGGTAATCGGGAACTTTCACGCTGTATTGGTTTCCTCAGGAATTCCTGCTCGCCATTGACGTCACGTCGGCCGGCACCCCGCAAGAGAAGCTCAAGTGGGCATTTAGGATGTACGACGTTGATGGCAACGGAGTTATTGAGCTGAACGAGATGAAGAAAATAGTCCAGGTTATACCTCATTTATTTTTTTCCGTTTCCCTTCCAAAGATCCTCCGAAGACAAGCAACGCCAGGATAAAGGATATATCCCGCACGTCGTTCTATTTTCGGAAAGAAACACTTTTGGGACTGAAATAACTCAAATATCTACCGTCACGGTTTCTTGCTCTGTATTCACGAAGATACTTTCAGCAGAACGAACGATAGCTAGGATGTGCGTGCGTATTTCTGAGGAGATCGAAACAATGAGTTTTACTGGCACACTCGTACTGGGCTGTTAGCATTTTTGCGCGTTTACACGCCTCACTATTTTCCTTACACATTGCCCTGGAAATTTGAAGTTCGGTGCATGTGATGGAGTTTTTAGTAGATGGACTGTGGCCTAAATGCTCAAAATTATGTAGATAAAAAAATTGAAATTAAAAAACATCAACCAAGCGAACATCCTCTGAAGGCAGAAGCACCCAGGTGATTCTATGGTGCTGAAACAAATGAAATGCTTCGTTATTGCATGGATTTTTGACCGAGTCTCAGAATCCTTACAATTTTTGTACACTTTTTTTTACAGAGACATTTTTTGGAGCTTTTTAAGCAATTTCACTGGCCAAATGCCACGAACGTTTCATCAAGTGTGATGGTCACCTTTTGTCACCTGAGTATATAATGATTCTGCAGCTTCAGTCCCAAAATCAGTGCACTTTTTGATCACGTGCGGGCTATATTCAAGTAAATACGCGTTGCTTTTCTCTCTGGAGAAAGGAATTATATTTTACCATACAGTATAGTACTACTGAGGAGTACTCTTGTGGTTTCAATCCTTGAATGCGTTAAGTCTCATTTTTAATCAAGATCTTTAAAAAATGGATCACTTCCAGGCCATCTATGATATGCTGGGAGCAAATTCGGCCAACAGACCAGCCGACTCAGCGGAGGCTCGAGCCAAAATAATTTTTGAGAGGATGGATGAAAATCATGATGGACAACTCACTGAGGAGGAATTCCTCCATGGATGCATGGAAGACGAAGAACTGTCAAAAATTCTGTCCCCGCTGACGTCTCAGTAGAGGCCCTGACAAAAATTTGCTGGCCGTCTCCGAATGTTTGCGCATTTGCCCCGTCTTCCGGTTTGCCAGGAGTTGATAGATGCGTTACGAATCAATCCCGGATCCTGATTTGTAGCCTGAGACAAGGAAATCTCCGATGTTTGAGCAGTCATGTTTCGAAAGCCGTCATGGGGTCCACTTTATGCAAGATTGTAGCTGCACAAGTTTCACGCTTGCTGGGATGAAAGTCATGAAAAATATGAACATAAAGTCAAGGATTTTAATTCATAGATGTATAGAAGGGATTTCGTCTGTATCTCCGAGGCGTGTGAGCGGATCGTCGACGTATGACAGATAATGGGGATTTTATCTGAGTGATCATGATGAACCTGATTCAATTTTGCGTGCCAATGTCATATGGGCAAGAACGGTTGATTTTTCGAACTGTATTCTGATCGATGTTGCCTGTGAGGCCGTCCAACATTTTGTTTCTGCTGACTAAAATTTAATGCTTAACCTAATTTTTGAAATTTGGTTTGCAGTCAATAGTTTTAAAATGGTAGCAGTTACATCGTCGGCACATTTTCACATCGTCAAATTATATACTATCTGCGTTAGACAGAAAGTCAAATCTCGTGACATGAGCAGAAACTTTCTTCGAAATTACAGAATCTAGTGAGCATGGTATTCGTTATTGGCGTTTCCAAGTGTTAGAATTGATAGTTGTCTTAGAATGAAATTAGATGAGCGGTGTTTTTGACTTTTGACATCATTCAAGCACTGCTTGACCTTTTAAAGGTAATTTTCCAAAACAAATGAAACTGAGTTTTCGCATACAATATTTTCGATACATCGGAACGTTTTTTTCCGTCGAAAGATTTTATTTTCTATGTCAAATCCTGATATTCTTCGCGAATTGCTTCCTTCCTGATGCAAATTTGGTGTTAATAAAGTTCCTTCTCGGATGAGGCCTAGTTAAGTTTTTTTCTTCATCACGGAAAATTATTTCAGATATTAAATTCAGGAAAATGATTCACTTCGTCGCGGTAATCGGAGCCATTGACGACCTCAAAATCTGTGTCAAAAGTTGTACGCTTAATTGATGATTCTTCCAATCTCTTGATTTTAAATTTACTTGTGCACATCACTAGAATGTTTTGTCCTTGCAGAAGGAGGTATGATCGCAGGGATGAATGAATTTTTTATATGTTGCCTTGCTTGATCTCTCGTCGAAACATAGCAGATGCTGGGCTCGATTCCTAAGAAATGTAAGGTTTTTTCTGGTGTAATCTTTTGAGTTTCGAATGTTCGTAAATCTCTCAAAAACATGACGTCGAATTTAAATATTTTCAAACGTAAGGTAATCTCTGATTTCCTCAGATTGTACATTATTTTTTAATGCCAATTAGCCTATATCCCCTTACGGTTTCGAACGGACATTCTCCCATGAAACCTATCGTTTGCTGAAAAATACTTGTCCATTTTTCTATTGAACTCTTTCTTTAATGCAACTTTCTCTTCTAGATACATTTTTATGTTTCCCATTGCTCTCGATTTCGTGCTGTTCCCTCGGGATTGTTTCACTGTGATTATTGCTGTTGGTTGACTCCAAGAGCACCGATGCAGAACTGCTGTGAGCGACAAGGTAATGTGAATGAAACATTTTTAAAGGTTTATTCTATAAATTTCAATTATAAAAACAACTTTAAACTAGTATTTGTCAGAAGAAAGCAGTATCCCATAAAACAAACCAGTATGTCTGACAGGAATTAAAAGTCACCAACAAAGTATTCAACAATATCTACATACAGTAATGTATTTGAGTGTCTAGGCGCTTTTACAGCAGTAAAGTAATAAGAAGACGTGCATTTTGGAGAAAAAAATCTTTCTATTTTTCTGGGAATTTGAAAGGATCTTTTATTAGGATCAGTCACTATATTTCCATTCCCTTTAGCTATAGTTTTCGAAACCATCCAAATTACTATAAGACAATACTGTACTGTACTTTGAGCATTGTTTACATGTTACACATTCTGTATTTCAATCAGCACTGGAAGGAAAACTCCTCCTTACGTGCTTCAGCCTGTCGATCATATCTAACGCCAATAACAGATGATCAATGGCTAACAGGAATCTATAAATACGCTGGATTACGTGAAATTACTCGCTGCACGTCTCTCAGAGTGAGTTCATTATAATCGGTCTACCTCAAACCGCTACACAATAGTGAAATTCCCCGTTGATTATTGTACGATGATTCCTTTAATATTCAACGATGCACGGGATCAGTTGATTTTCTTGCAAAATATCCAGGTAATATGAAACATTTACAGTTTCTTGCTCGTCTTATACGTCTTTTCCTGCGCGAGGAGATAAACCTCATTGATAATCGTCCGTGGAATGTGCCCTCACCCCTCAGCAACGTGGGGATGTTCTAGTGGCACCTATACGCGCGAATTATTCTTAGATAACTCTAATGACCGTTAGGAGTCGCTGCTACGTTCGTCAAAAATTTCTTCCGCCGAGAAAGCGGGCTGAGCAGCGATAACATTTTCTTCCAGTGAAAAATGAGCGTGTTACAGACAGCGAAAGAAGCATGACGAAAACGCGAACCAGGCCACAAGCGTACGTGTTGCGGCAAGTAAATTCGCATTGCATAAGGAGGGAACAGCTGATGACTGAAACATCCGCCGACGTCCCGCGGTTCACGCGTGGGCTTACCGAAAAGTTTTTTTTCTCTCTCTAGAGAAACCGTTTTCTTTGAAATAAATTAGGTGAGAGTACCCCTTCGAGTTTTCGTCGACACTCGACAGTGGACGGAATTAAGCGTGATTATTTCAACCCGGAATTCCTCGTTTAGCATTTTCTTTGCTGGAGGATGAATTTCATATGGAAAACATCCCCGAATAGTCGACAGTGGAAGACGGAAGCTCGTGAGTAAAGAGAACCAAGCCGCGCTTAACTGGCGCGAAGAAATCCCAAAATAAGCAGGCGGACGGGAATACTTCTTGAACTGAAATTCTTTTCTGCTGATTCTTGCTTCCACTCACTGAGTGAGATTCATTAGTGCGTTTGAATCACCCGTCCATAACTCACCCACAGTACTGTGCTTCAAACGTGCGTTGGCACAGCGTTTCTTTTTTTGAACAATGAAAAAAAAAGGCGATCCTGCAACGATGCTGGTAAAATCTGTTGCAAACGTCGCGGCCTGCAAGGTGTAAGATGCAGGATAAAAGATTTTTATCCATTCCGGATGTTCGTTGGAGTACTGATTAAAGTTCCAGGGAAATCGTGACGAGAATAACCGGAGGAACCCGTCACATTTTTCGGGGAACTCTGGTTTGTTTCGGCCGTGAACCGCAGGTTTAAGTGAAAAAAGGAGGATCAGTCTTCGGCGTGTGTGTTGCGGCCTTGGCTCGAGGCGTCCTTATTTGTCAACCCTAGGGTCAAGCTTGACTCACCTCGCGTACTCGGCGCCGGAATTTGGCTCAAATCCACGCGACTCATGTCCGCCGTCTGCGGGTAAGGTTCCATTCTCCACGCGTGGTTTCTCTTTCATCTTGCGCACATGTGCCGGGTGCATTAGTGGTTCGAAAATTTCCCACTCGTGTATTCTAGGCTTCGTGCACCGTGCGGAGCCAGTTCCCATGAGGAGCTCAGAGCGCGTGGATTTACTGCTTGTGTGGTAGTGCGTGTATTTTTTTTTTCTCTTCATTCATTTACATTTTCAAGGCAGAGGCTTTTCCCTGTCGATGAGAGACTGGCTCGCGGTGTTGCTCACCAACGCGGATGTGCTGCCACGGCTGCCGGGGCCCGGTGAAAGATCAGTATTGTCGCGGGTTAATGTTTCTACAGCCGCTAAATGAAGGGCCCTTGTTCAACGGTCTGGCGCCAGCCCAGTCGGAAACGCAGAGCTTTTTTTTTCCGCGCCCGTTCTCGAATCGAATGCAGCGCTTTCAGTTGCGAAGTACTGTACTGTACTCGAGTATGAGGCCCCTCTTCTTGGACTCGCCGTAATTTTCAGTTCCCTATTCAGGACTTGAACTTATTGCCGTATCTAAGGCGCACTTTCATTCCCCTCGCAATTCGTATTCCGGAAACGCAGCTGTGCAGTGGTAACCTGTATGGTAGTAGAGAGAAAATATCTTCGAAAATAATGATGCATTGCAGCGAAATACTAAATAGGAAAGTTCATTTTCATTTCCTCTGACGTGAAGTCAGCCTTCAAAGCAATACTGTATTATGAAAATCGTATTACCCAAAACAAGCTACTCAGGGGAGTGAATACAGTAGTCAGATTTAAATTTCAAAGTCGCAGCTTAATTTATGGTTTACACATAAAGCAAATAGAAAAGCTTGTTTGTATTATTTGCTGTAACTACTGTGTAGGCATATTTTTTATTCATGCCTTAATAGTGTTGTGCTCCTTCGAGAAGCAACTTGGATATGACCAGTGGGAAGTGTACCAGCAGTTGACCAGCCCAGCTTCGAAAAGCGCACTGTGCAGCATTCATTTGCTTATCACGTGAGCATTTTTTCCAAAAATTTGAATGATAGATTACGGTTACGCAGAACATTTGATGCATTTTAAAATAAAACTTGTGAAAGAAAATTGTTTGCATTCCCACATGAGCACTACGTAAGTTGAAGATGGTGCAGTTTATTTTGAACTGCCTCCGCTAAAAAAGGGAATCTACTTATTGTATTACCACGTGATTCCAAATCGAGCTCTTTTGAAATTCTAGTTCTCGTAATTTTTCTCTTCGAAAATAAAATTCAATGTCACTCATGCATTGTAACACTCATGCATGTCGCTCACAAAATCTAGGTACGCCTCTCACGTGGAAATCCTTTTTTCTTCCAAATATCCTACAGGCGTGTGATGACAAAAGTGAATACTGCAGTGTGTTCATTTAGTTAGTGAGATAAGAATTTTTTAAGACTCATACACTGACATTTACCATGTGATCCTAAGACTCCGTCGATTTTAAGACGCACCCAAATTGTTTTTGGGTCAAAAGCGAGGAGCGCACCGTCTTACAATCGCGTATAAATACGGGCACGAGATTGAAAATGCTTGTTCGGTGTGTCTGGGAAAATTCTGTACTCTAATCGCTCGTCTAATTCAACTAATTGTACATGACGTGGCCCAATTAGTCTTGTCGAAGGCCTTCAACATAAGCAGTGTCGGGATTTTCTCATGATCGGCATTACGAGGCTTATCAAACTGCCAGACTTGCAACCATTCGCCTGAACTGCTCGCTGGTGTGCTCGTTCCAGACGCAGATCTTCTTCCGCGTGTCTGCTTGCGACGCTTATTGAACCCTTCCAGTAAAGACTCGGATGTCTGGGCTTTGTTTCCAAAAAAATGTTGCGTTGGAAACCTAAGCAAACAAGCAAATGAAGTGGTGGACGAACCATTCCGAGTGTAAAAATATCCCTGAGCACCTGGCGAAAAGATTTGTGGGCTTCGTAGAATTCCCGGTCGGGGTGAATGCTCGTACTTCGGTAAAGCAAATAAACCCGTGAGAAATTTTCGCGTTCAGTTTGAGTAGTACCTTTATTCGATGAGTACTTGGGAATTTCGTCGTGCCTTTGCGGTCTTCCACAAATGCATTAACCTCCGTCACCCCGAAAAAAAAACTTCCTCCCGAAAATACCGTGAATTCCGACAAATTATGTCTGCAGCGCAACGCAGTATCGTAAAAAAAGAAGTCCTCGACTAAGAAACAAGCATCCATCGTAAGTACTAATCAATCAGTATTTTTGAAACATATTTTCATGTTTTTTTAAGGGGGGGGGAGGGGGGGAGGCTCGAACAAAGGACATGCCATCATTATCAGCGCAACGATTTTCCGGATGAAGTTATCAGCTGTTTCAAGGAGGAAAAAAAACAATGTATTTTTTGCCTACGGGGTTTTGATGGCGTTCGGAGGATGATGAAAGGATCGCGTGTCGAGAGACGGTGATTAAG